GTTTCCCTTTCAACATCCAAATAATGTAGATATAAATAACTCTTTTTTTTTTTTTTTTTTGACAGAGTCTCAGGCTGTCACCCTGGGTAGACAGCTGTGGCATCAGAGCTCCAGCAACCTCCAACTCTTGAGCTCAAGCAATCCTCTTGCCTCAGGTTTTCTATCATTAGTAGTGACGGGGGTCTCGCTTTTGCTCAAATTGGTTTTGAACTTGTGAGCACCCACCTTGGCCTCCCAAAGTGCAAGATTACAGGTGTGAGACACCGTGCCTGGCCTCCCACCTGCTTGATTTCCACTGAGTTTTACTTCAGAATCCGTAATTCTCAAGTTCTTGTTCACATAGCCTTTACCTGTGGTCAGACTCTTAGGTAGCTGCCATAATTTCATAATAATATTTCAAATAACATATATATATATATATTTTTTTTTTTAAGAAACAGAGTCTCACTTTATTGGTATCACACAGCTCACAGCAACCTCCAACTTTTGGGCTTAGGGGATTCTCTTACCTCAGCCTACCGAGTAGCTGGGACTATAGGTGCCCACCACAACACCCAGCTATTTTTTGTTGTAGTTTGGCTGAGGCTGGGTTTGAACCTGCCACCATCCGTATATGGGGCTGGAGCCCCACTCACTGAGCCACAGGCACCACCTAAAATTCAGCACTCTTTTTGGGCCACTGACCCTGTGCCCAGCCCCACTCTTTGGCCTAGGCACACCTATAAACTCCACCATTGTAAGGTTGGAATGGTACACATTGTTTCTTTAAAGTGACATCCTTCAGATACTTCGTGGCTTTTCGTATATGCATACCCCTGATATCTGGGCAGTTTCATGTGTGTTCTTAAAGTGAACACAAAGATTGGAGCCTCTTGACTTGCATGACGTTGTGGGGTTTTCTAGGTTAAGTGAATAGCAAACCATTTTCACAAATTACCTTAGGCCACTTAGGGGAAGAGCTCTGTTCAAGTCTCTTGCCCACTTATCAATGGAGTTATTTGCTCTTTTCTTGTTGATTAATTTGAGTTCTCTGTAGATTCTAGTTATCAGTGCTTTGTCAGATTCATAGTATGCAAATATCTCCCATTCTGAAGGTTGACTGTTTGTTTTAGTTGTGGTACCCTTAGCTGTCCCATTCTTATTCAGTAAGCATTTATTTTTAAGTCCTTTCAATGCTTTAACACTTGGGAGGATCTCCATTTAAGAGATCCCATTCAAGACTTAAGGCCTAGGCTTTTCTCTTGCAGCACAAGAATGTAGATGAAGCTTGGCCAGAGGTTAGTGTCCTTGTGCCATGCACACTTCTGAGTCTCTATCTGTGGGCAAGCCAACTCTTGCTATATTCCTGACTTTCAAGCCCTGGGATGAAATGAGACGTCAGGCCCTGACCTGGAGTCATCATGAACATGACAGAGGCTGTCATTAAGATGCAACTCTGAGCTTACATTTCTACAGAGACACTT